GGTAGAATTTTGCACTAACCAGAGCGCGCATGGGTAATGCGCATATATGTGTAAATCCCCCAAGATCCTTTTCTCCACTTAAGGCTGGTCAGGTATATGGCTTGGAAGAATGGAGATCCTACGCCCTCATGTGGTGGGAAATGATCCAGCAGGTCAAAGCTATGACGATCCAGATGAGCCTCCACGAGGAACTGGCACAGGAATCCCCCCAAGGGCTACAAGGATGGAAAAGCTCCTCACAGGAGACACAGGGGAGCACTCATAGTGTAGTAATTTAAAACTTTATTTGAAAGCAGCACAGGTGCAGAATACAGGAGAATAGCCAAGTATGGGCAAAGTAACACTGACCCTATTAGATGTCAAAATGGCCGCCGGGCCTCCTCGTGGCACCGGCGGCTTGATGTCAACGGCGTCCTAGGGTCCCACCTAAGGTGGGACCCTAGGACGCCGTTGACATCAAGCCGCCGGTGCCACGAGGAGGCCCGGCGCCATTTTGACATCTAATAGGGTCAGTGTGTTTGCCCATACTTGGCTATTCTCCTGTATTCTGCACCTGTGCTGCTTTCAATAAAGTTTTAAATTACTACACTATGAGTGCTCCCCTGTGTCTCCTGTGAGGAGCTTTTCCATCCTTGTAGCCCTTGGGATTCCTGTGCCAGTTCCTCGTGGAGGCTCATCTGGATCGTCATAGCTTTGACCTGCTGGATCATTTCCCACCACATGAGGGCGTAGGATCTCCATTCTTCCAAGCCATATACTTGACCAGCCTTAAGTGGAGAAAAGGATCTTCAGGATTTACACATATATGCGCATTACCCATGCGCGCTTGGTTAGTGCAAAATTCTACCATTTTTACACTGGGAAACAAGGAGCACTGTTGTTTTACTGGACTGTGTCTACTATTAATTCCAATATCAATTTTAGAGCGCTGCATTTCTTCTGTATATTTACAGGTTACCAGTTTAGAGGTCTGGGGCTCATCATAATACCTCACGTGTTGTTTGAACACCATTTACATAAGAGTGTGACAACATCCTTTGTGATAGCATGGGCAATGACAGGTTCTCTTTTCTAAGACTTTTGGGGTCTATTAGACCCCAGATCTCTCCTCTGCCCTTGAAAGCATCTGATCAAATGGAGATCAGTTTGCGGTCACAGGCTGGTAACAGTTTACATTAGGCCAAAACTGGAAGTGACAAAATACTTGTCGCTTACAGTTTCTTAGACCACAGAGATTATCAGGGACATTCCAGTGCTCCGTCAATTCTATGGGAAGCCAGCAGAACTGCCGGCATCAGTCCCAGGCTCCTCAGTGGAACAGGAGAGACCAGTAAGGTGGCAGAAGGAGGCTGGGGACCCCATTCTCTTGCAAGTAAAAGAAATCCAGCAGCTATTCAGCTTCTATGATTGCTTTTACTTTTTCAGAATCGCTGGCTGAAAAGATTGATACTGGGGAAATGACTGCAGCCATAGCCCTGGAAAAAAACACTCAAACCCAGCATGTACAGGGACATCCTACAGGTGGGAAGAGAAAATAGTCCATACAACTTCAATGTTATGGATTTTACATAAATTGTATTAAACAGACAGTGCTTGTATGGGCAGCACAAAAGATAGTTCTGACTTGGTGGTGCATGCACATTTAATAAGAGTGTTTCAACAATGCAGACAGTTAAGTTGGGCTAAACAAGTGAAATCTAAGTGTGTATGACGAATGGGATGAGCATGAGAAATACCTTGATCCCCCCATATAGGCTAAACAGCATGGATGGAGGAACTCCCCTGCCATGTACTGTATTTTGACAGCCAGATGCATGCAGCTGTCAGAATACCCGAACAGTGACTGTTGCTGATTGTATTTGGTCATTGTTCAGCCACCAATATTACACCCGACTCAATTTTTCAAATAGTTTCCTAAAGTGGGCACTGATGGCAGGGCCACCCATGACTAAAATTCTTTCCAACCCACAGGAGTCAGCTAAGTGTATGGCCATCTTTAGTTTCCATCCAGCTGGGGCTGCACATGACTGAGAAACTAAAATTAGAAATGTGGAAGAGGTAGACATTTTTTTTAAGGTGTGGGATAATAAAGTCATGTATACCTGAGAATAATATGTAAAAGGAGAACTAAATTCCAACTGTAAAGAATGCAAGGAGCTAGATTTTTTTTTTTTTTTTTTTAGTCACATGCCGAAAGAAGGGGTCCTGCGGAGTTCCAAAATGTTGCTTCTGCTATAACGAGGTAATTGCTGAATAAAGTTTTGGACCCATTCTAGAGCTCCATGGTGTGCTGGTGACATTCTGTCGCTGATTGTCTTCCCTTCCAGCCGTTGGTTGCTACAGCACCAATTTACATATACAGCCATTTTGCAGGAACGTGTGTGTTGGGAAGATGGGAAGCACAAGAGACCTGGACTCCTAGGCAAGCTTTCTGTTTTTGGCACATGCACTGTGCTACTGTACATCCTGGTTCATGCTTGGAATGATGAAAATAGAGCTGGGTGCTGGGGATGCTGCAACTCTCATGCAACAGTATACATCCTCAATGGCTGTTCAAAGGCCAAAAAGCAGCACAGCGGGACTCAGAAAGAGCAGAGGAGACACTGGAGCTATCAGGAGGATCAGCAACAGGATCCTAGACCTGTCACCACTGGAGAGAGGGCACACCAAGAGTGTGCAAGCATGCTCTGCATACCTGAACATTAGAACGAGAGCACGTTTCCCCAAGCAGCATTTTGTTTTGCTTCAAGGACATTCTGTGCCATGACAGCTGGAGGTAACTAAACTGAGCCAAACAAACCTAACAGGAAATATCTGACATGTCATGATAGTGTTGGAGCTTGCATGCGTCCTCCCACCTCCTACACATTCCTACTGGCCTATCATTAAGATAGGCAGCCTCAAAGGCCAATAGAAATGTGCAGGAGGTAAAAGGGGACGGTCTTAAACAGCAGCAAAAAGTGACACCTGCCTGAATGGTCAGGCATTGGTCATAACAGTAAGATTTAGAGGTTGCTTCAAGTGTGTGCTGGAACCTCTGGATGACTGCACTTTATACTCAACAGCAGATTTTATTTTATTGTTTGTATGGTGAACATGTCACTTTAGGTAGCAAAACTATTGGCTACAGAATGGCAAGGAAAAGTTCATTCAGCTAGGAAATGTTTACTTTTAACCCCCTCCCCCCCAAATCACTGGTTTTGTAATCAGCGATATCCTGGTTGTATGGTTTAAACCATTCTGCATTATTTCCCTTTAATACTAAAAAGTGCTTTGCTTGTTGCTATACAGGCCGTTTGGGGTTCAGACCAGGGACGGACTGACAAACTCATGGGGCCCCCGGGCAATAGGGGATCATGGGGCCCCTGTGTCCTTGCCCAAACTCAAAAAAGCCTATGAAAAAGGTGCCAGGGGCATCTCATGGGGCCCACTACTGACCCTGGGCCCTCGGGCAGTGCCCGAGTTTCCAAATGGTCAGTCCGCCCCTGGTTCAGACTACTTTGTCAGGTAACCACTAGAAAAATTGCTGTAATTGGTTACATGCACAGTAAACTGCAATTATGAAGATCTAAGCCTTGATGGCATAACAGCCCACCTACGATCTAAATCTTACCAATTTATACATTTTGGTCAGTGTTCTTGCTTATGTATCACAGTGGCTGAGTGGTTAGCACTTCCGTCTGGCAGCACTAGGGTAGTCGCTTTGAATCCCAACCACAGCACTACCTGCCTGGAGTTTGCATGTTCTCCCTGTGTGGGTTTCCTCCGAGTACTCCGGTTTCCTCCACACTCCAAAGACACGCTGGTAGGTTAAATGGCCCGTCTAAATTGGCCCTAGTATGTGTATGTATGAATGTGAGTGAGGGCCTTAGATTGTACGCACCTTGAGGGATTGGGACTGATGTGAATGTACAATATATATATGTAAAGTGCTGAGTACATTGACAGCTCTATATAAGTACTTGAAATAAATAAAATAAATACTGCGAATAGATTTTAAGGGGTTAACAACTAACAGCTGGTGAAATGGGGACCATTTCTATATCCCCTACAACCAGATTCCACTTCTTGTCTACCAGTGGTTGCAAAAAAAAAAAAAAAAAAAAAAAGACGTAAATGATGGGTTGCTGTGGGCAATACGCATCGGAAAAACCTTTTTACTACGACAGATAAACAGATAGCAATGGATAGACTTGCAGTTTTTTCTAATAAAGTGCATAAATAAAGCAGCGCCATCTGAGTGCAGTATGGTCATAAAACAGATATCTTGGATCTGACGCCAGCCAGGGAGCCCTGGGAACAACCTCAACGGTCCAGACAAAAAGTTCTTCTCGACAGCCCTCCGATGCTATTACAGCAGCGAGAATCACTACATGCCTGCTGCTACAAATTCATTGTCTGTAAGTTGCTACAATTGCGATTAAAGCGGTTTTATGACCATACTACACTCAGATAGCGCTGCTGTTTGACCCTCTGAATTTTCACAGAGCTGCTTCTAGCTCTCACAGCCAGCAGCCATCAGACAAACCGTAGCTACACAAGACTGTTGAACCTATTTTTTATGATCATTTTTACATGTACTAATATGCCCCCAGTGTGCTGCCTCCTATGACCCCTGCACCATTCTCCCTTTCCATTTTCTAATAAAGCAACAACTATTGTGCCACATGCAGCATACAAATCAGAGATGGTGATCTGTCTCATTTTAATAAAGTCTGATATCAGATTAGTTGGTATTATTATTATACAGAATTTATATAGCGCCAGCAGTTTGCTCAGCGCTTTACAATATATGAGTTTATGAGTTTAGCATTTGTTGAATGCTAGTGAAAGGTCAAATAAAAGAGACTACTCCTTTAAAAACTAGATATCTCTCCACGAGATGCACCGAAAACTCAACTTGAGTTTTTTTTATCAGAACAAGGCTGTGTGTAGATTTTGTATTTTAATCTTAGCATTCTACCAGTGTCACTAGTGCTGTAAAAAGCCACTTAACTCACCATTTATATCTTGACCAAGGTAAGAGCACCAACGACTCCTCATGTCCTCAATGGCCTCCAGATCATCCTCTGAGTTTTTCGTTGTCTACGATGAGGTGCATGCATGGGATGATCAGATCATTCATTATGCCGATTCCTTCAGACACCTGCTCCTCTTCCTGAGTCTCAAACATTTTTGCAGCCAAGTCGTTTAGTTCCTGTGAAAAAGGGAAATATGGGTTGGCATAAGCAAGAACACCGATCATCATTCATGAATTTGTAATACCGGATAACAATTCAAGCTCCATTTCACATTTCAGCTTATGAATTCATCAAAAGCTTTGCTATTACCTATGATACAGAAGAATCCATAAATGATGTCCATAAATAAAGTGAATTTTCTGAACTCTGCAATTTTACTGGAATGAGTGTGATTGCTACTTTGGATCTCTGTTAAATTTAAAGTGGTTCTAATGCATTCTATACATTAAAGTGAAGAACCTTCTGTGCTGAAGCTCCCACCTTTTTATTACCTGAGCCCGATCAGATCCAGCGATGTGCACGAGAGCAGCAGCTCTAGCCACTGTCTCCCTTCTCATTGGGCAGACTGATAGCAGTGGGAGCCATTGGCTCAATCAAATGCTGTGACTTAGCAGCTGCCCGCTCTGTATCAATGGACACAGACAGAGCAGTTCAGGAGCGAGCATGGATGGGTGCCCGTCTTTCCATAGGGTCACCTGCTGAAGCTGAGGGACCAGTAGCAGTGGACCTGGGCTGCTCTTTGCAAAAGCAATGAACAGAGCAGGCAAGTATAGATATGTTTTTCATTTTAATGGAAAAAAACAAACTAAGGTTTTATAACACTTACTGTACCTAGCCCATAATAGATGTTTCAGCACTGTTTTTGCAAACAAAGGTGGTGATTCTTTTTAATCCACCTGCCCAACTAAGTCCTTATGCAACAAGTACACAGAAACAAGGAAGGTTTATGTGATGCCAAAACAAAAAAGTATGTAAACTCACTGCAGCAGCATGCAACTAAATGTGTTCCCATACAAATAAAGATAGAATTAGTGCTGCACTGCTCAATATCCACACTAGGGATCCCTGATGAAGTAATATGGTGCGTGACGGAACGCGTAGGCTGGGAGCATGCTGACATTTCCGGAGCAGCATCAGTAGCACCCATCTTTTTACACCCAAATCCTATTATATGCTGTCTGAAGGTTCTGTGAGCTCTTAGTCAAATGTGAGTGCAGTTCTGATTTTTATTTTTATTAATCAAAAGCTTATTACACTATGAAGAAGATGAAACAGGAAGGCGCTTCTAAGTGCAGTATTCCAAGGTCAACTTATATAAAAAGCAGTTAAAAATGCTTACAATGTGGTAGTATAAACAAGCTCTAATGCAGTGTTTCTCAACTCCAGTCCTCATGGACCCCCAACAGGTCATGTTTTCAGGATTTCCCTCAGATGAAACAGCTGTGGTAATTACTAAGGCAGTTAAACTGATCAAATCACCTGTGCAAAATAATGGAAATCCTGAAAACATGACCTGTTGGGGGTCCATGAGGACTGGAGTTGAGAAACACTGCTCTAATGTAATCTGTCAGTAGCAGGGCTCTGTCCTCTAAGCGATATATGTCTTGAAGAAGTAGCTCTGCTCAGGCTCTGAACCGTGTCACTGCTCCATGCTCACGTCACTTCTGATCCATGGACAGCATGCGCTCCAGCGGTTCGGATAGAGCTGTGACCATCTTTAACCACCTCCCGTCCGGCCGTTGTATATAAACGGCCAGATGGTGGCAGTGCAGGGTCGGGTGGCCGTTTATAAACTCCCTGCTCCCAGGGAGCGGCGCGCAGCACCTTGATCCGGTGCCCGATGTTCTCCGGACACAGTGGAACACTGATCGTCGGATGGGACCTCTGTGCGAGGTACCGATCATGTGATCACTGATTGGCCAATCAGTAATCATATGCAGAGTAGTAAGCAAGATGTCACTTCTGACATCTGTGAATGATCAAAGAGGTCACATGGTACAAGGCTATTCACAACAGCCTTGTACCATGTGACAAGCTGTAACCAATCACAGCTCACACAGTAGTTCTCAATGGCTGCAAAAATGCAGTCAGCGAAAAGGAGAAATTATTGCTTTTACAGCCTTTATGGGTGTAAAAGCAATCAGTGTAAAAAGATTATCTTCATCACCCCCCACAAGTAGTACAGTGTCACCATGGTGACACTGTACTGCTAGGGTGACAGTATGTAAAAAAAAATCAAATAAAAATGTAAAAATAAATGTTTAAAAATTATAATTTTTGGTTATAAACTAATTTGGGTTATTTTTTTTACTAAAAAGATAAACGGAATAAATTTTGGCTAAGATTTATGATGAAATATTATTTATTTGCAACATTTATTATTATTATTATTATTATTATTACTACGAGTTTATATAGCGCCAAAGGGTTTGCTCAGCGCTGTACAATAGGGGGGGACAATACATGGCACAGTACAACAAAGACAGACGCGTACGAGGGGTAAGAGGGCCCTACTCTTACGAGCTTACAATCTAGGAGGGAGGGGGTAAAGGTACAGTAGGAAGTGGCTGGGGGGATGAAGTGGTAGGAGGAATGAGGGAGGATGGCCGTTAGGTGAGGGTGGGGTAGGCTTCCCTGAAGAGATGGGTTTTGAGGGAGCGCCTGAATGTGAATAGAGAAGGCGACAGTCTGATGGATTGGGGCAGTGAGTTCCAGAGGATGGGGGAGGACCTGGAGAAGTCCTGCAGTCGTGCATGGGAGGAGGAGACCAGGGAGCAGGATAGAAGGAGGTCCTGTGAGGAGCGAAGGGTACGGGTAGGGGGTTGGGCGGTACTTGGTGATAAGGTTGGTGAGGTAGTCAGGGGCAGTGTTGTGAACGGCTTTGTAGGTCAGGGTAAGGAGTTTAAATTTGATGCGTTGGGCAATCGGGAGCCAGTGGAGGGAGAGGCAGAGGGGGGTGGCAGAGGTGGAGCGGCGGGTGGTAAGGTGGATGAGTCTGGCAGCTGAGTTCAGGATGGTCTGGAGCGGGGAGAGCCTGCACTTGGGTAGGCCAGTGAGGAGGGAGTTGCAGTAGTCAAGGCGTGAGATGATGAGGGAGTGTACTAGAAGTTTGGTGGTGTCTGGGGTGAGGAAGGAGCGGATCTTGGCAATGTTGCGAAGATGGAGCCTGCATGTGTTTGTGAGTGATTTGACATGCGGTTGGAGGGAGAGAGGTTCGCGTCAAGAATGACGCCAAGGACTTTGGCTTGCGGGGCGGAAGTGATAGTGGAGTTGTTGGTGATGATGGATAGGATGGGGGGGGGGGGGGTGGGGGGGAAAAGACGAGAAGCTCGGTTTTGGAGAGGTTAATCTTGAGGAAATGTAGCGACATCCAGTCTGAGATGTCATTTAGGAGGTGAGTGATGCGGGCGGAGATAGTGGGGGTGAGGTGAGGGGTGGAGAGGTAGATTTGGGTGTCGTCAGCATAGAGGTGATAGTTGAAGCCGTGAGATTGTATGAGTTTGCCCAGGGAGGAGGTGTAGATGGAGAAGAGAAGGGGTCCAAGGACAGAGCCTTGGGGGACCCCAACAGAGAGGGGGAGGGAGGGGGAGGTGGCACCATTGTAGGTGACACTGAAGGAGCGTCGGGATAGGTAGGATGAGAACCAAGAGAGAGCAGCATCTCCGATGCCAAGGGAGAGTAGTTTATTAAGAAGGAGGGGGTGGTCAACTGTGTCGAAGGCCGCAGAGAGGTCCAGGAGAAGGAGGACAGAGTAGTCGCCCTTGGCTTTGGCGTTGAGTAGGTCGTTAGTGATTTTGAGGAGGGCGGTTTCAGTGGAATGTAGGGGACGGAAGCCGGACTGTAGAGGGTCAAGGAGGTTATTGTCAGTAAGGTGGGAGCTTAGGCGATCGTAGACTAAGCGTTCAAGGAGCTTGGAGGTGAGTGGCAGCAGGGAGATGGGTCTGAGGTTGTTGGGGTCCGCGGGATCCAGGGAGGGCTTTTTGAGGATGGGGGTGATATGCGCGTGCTTTAGGGGGGAGGGGAATACGCCAGTAGAGAGGGAGAGATTGAAGATGTGGGTGAGGGAGCGGATGAGGGAAGAGGGGGGTGACCGGAGGAGTTGAGAGGGGATAGGGTCCAGGGGGCAGGTAGTGAGGCGGGCTTTTGAGAGGACTTTGGCGACTTCCTCAGTAGTGACAGGGCTGAGGGAGTGCAGTGCGGGGGGGGTTATGGTGGGCGGGGCATTGGGAGAGGAGGGGGGCAGTGCGGTTGTGAGGGCAGAGGAGGGGGGAGATGAAGGGGTGACGGGGGCGAGGAGGCTAGGTGGGGAGGTAGATTGCAAGTTGACGATGTCCTTACGGATAGAGTCAATCTTGTTGTGGAAATGGGTGGCAATTTCGTGGGCGGTGAGAGAGGTACTGAGTGGAGGAGGGGGGGGGGAGAGCAGGGAGTTGAAGGTGGAGAAGAGTCGGCGGGGGCAGGAGGAGAGGGTGTTTATTAGGTTAACAAAGTAGGCCTGCTTGGCGGCGTGGAGGGAGGAGGTGTAGATAAGAAATGCAGATTTGTAGAGGGAGAAAGTATGAGGGGACCTGGTTTTGCGCCACAGTCTCTCCAGTGCGCGACTGCGACGTTTGAGGCGTTTAGTGCTGTCGGTCTGCCACGGTTGAAGCGGTCTGGGTTTGATGATGCGTGTGGTTAGGGGTGCCAGAGAGTCTAGGGCAGCTGACAGTGAGTCATTGTACAAGGTGGTGGCTATGTCAGGACATGACAGTGAGAGGGATGCTGTCGTGTAGGCAGTCGGCGGCAGAGTGGAGGGGGGCCGGGTTCAGGTTGCGGAGGTTGCGGCTGGTGATGGTTTGGCGTTTTTGAGGGGGGGGAGTTGGGGGAAGGGGAGATGGAGAAGGTGATGAGGTGGTGGTCGGAGAGAGGGAAGGGGGTGTTCGCGAACTGGTTGAGGGTACAGAGGTGGGAAAAGACGAGGTCCAGGGTGTTCCCTCCGAGGTGGGTGGAGGATTGAGTGTGCTGTGTGAGCGCGAAAGAGGAGGTTAGGTGGAGGAATTGGGAAGTAGCCGGGGTGTTGTCGTTGATGGGGATGTTGAAGTCCCCGAGGATGATGGTGGGGAGCTCAGAGGAGAGGAAGAAGGGAAGCCAGGCGGCGAAGTCATCCAGGAAGCGGGCTATGGGTCCGGGAGGCCTGTAGATCACTGCGATCCTTAGGGGGGTGGGTGAGAAGAGTCGGATGCAGTGCGCTTCAAAGGAGGGGAAGGAAAGAGAGGGTGGGTTAGGGAGGACCTGGAAGGTGCTAAGCGGTGACAGGAGCAAGCCGACACCACCACACCTCTGCGATCGCTCAGTCTTGGTGAATGGGTCCAGATGAGACCTCCATGAGTGAGTGCCGCAGGGGAGGTGGAGTCGGTGGCCTGTACCCAAGTTTCGGTGATTGCTAGGAGGTTGAGGGAGCGGGAGATGAAGAGGTCATGGATGGCGGTAAGCTTATTGCAAACCGAACGAGCATTCAGGAGTGCAACCGAGAGAGGGGGGATAGATATGGGGAGGAGGGGTACATGTATGAGGTTGAGGGGGTCGCGTCGGCTGGCGTGAGCAGGGGGGGCTCTAGGGGGGGTGTGAGGTGGTGAGGGGCCAGGGTTTGGGGAGATGTCCCCAGCTGATATGAGAAGGAGGAGGGTGAGGAAGGTGGCGTGGGAACGGGAGGTGTAGGAGCGCTTGGGTCTGAAAGTGGTGGCAAGTGGGTCAGCGGGGAAGTGGAGTAGCAGGAGGAGGTGGTGGGTGCCGTAGTGGGGAGAGGGGAGAAGTGAGGGGGCGATATAGAGCTGCTTAGCGGGGGTGGGTGGGTAGAGGAAGGCGGTTTTAGGGATGGAGGAGAGGAGGACAAGGAGGAGGAGCGCGGGGCGGCATGTTGGGGTGAGCGGGGTGCAGGAAGGGTCAGGGTGGGTGAGGGGGTGCTGGTCAGGGATGGCGAAGCAGTGTCCGAAACGCAGTGGGAGGTGGCTGGTAGTCCCAGGTGGGGTGGAGGGCAGGGGATCCCTGGTGGGATGGTGGCCGTGCTATCCCTGGTGGGTTAGTAGCGATCCCTGGAGGGATAGTGGTTAGGGGTCCCTGGTGGTTAGGGTTTCTGGTGGGTGGTGGGATCCCTGGTGGCTGGCGGTGGGATGGTGGTTGGGCTCCCTGATGGGTAGTGGGTGCCCCTGGTGGAGTACCTGATGTCCTGGAGCGTCGGGGTGGAGGTGGATCCCTCCTATGTTAGGAGGACCGTTGGTACTGGTGGTGGTAGCTTCCCCGGAGGAGCGGAGGCGTCCCGCTGCGATTCCAGCCACGGCCGGCAGGAAACACCGCGGCTTCGGTGCCGTGGTAGGCCTCAAGCCGCTTCGGACCGCCGGAGCTCCGCTGGAGGGACGGAGTGTCTGTGTCCCCTTCAGGGTGTTGGTGGGGACATCGGCAGCAGGCTCAAGGGCCCGGATGGCAGCGGATCGGGCGCGGGGGCGCCGGAGCTGACGAGCACGTGGCTGCTCCGGGCGAGCTGGTACCCGGTGGTCGGGATGGACCCAGGGCCAGTGAGGGGGGCCCTGGGGAGGCTGGCTGATCGGCGGGGACCGGGGAACAGAGCAGCGGCGGCCTGGGCTGATGCCCGGCGATCCGGGTCGGCCGCGCCAAAATCGAGGCCGCGGCTTCGGGTGCCGGGTAGGCCGCAAGTCCCGGAGGTCCGGGGAAAAGGTGCAGTGGCCTTACCTGGCTGATGAGCAGGGACCGAAGGATCGTGGGGCCCCCGTTAGGGTCCGCTGCTGCCCAGATGGCAGCGGATTGGGGCCAGGGGAGCAGGAGCTCGCCGACGCACGTCCTTCTCGCCGGACGTCCGGAGTATTGAGTATTGAGTCTTATAACATTTTATAAGAAAAACACTTTTTTTCAAAATTTTTGGACTTTTTCATTTACATAGCAAAAAAAAAAAAAAAAAAAATCCCAGTGGTGAATAAATACCAAGAAAATAAAGCTCTAGATGTCTCAAAAATTGCTAAAAAATTCATATGGGTGCAGTGTTGCATGACCGCGCAATTGTCATTCAAAGTGTGATAGCGCTGAAAGCTGAAAATTGGCCTGGACAGGAATGGGGTGAAAGTGTCCGGACATGAAGTTGTTAACACCTCTCCTCAAGCTCCCCCTGCAGCTGCTGGCTGGCACAGCGGCTCCATCGCTTAGAGGACAGAGCCCTGCTATTGATGATTACATTAGAGCCTGTTCATACTACCACATTGGAAGTGTTTTTAACTGCTTTTATTAAAAGTTGACCTTGGAATACTGCACTTAGAAGCGCCTTCCTGTTTCATCTTCTTCTGCGCAGAGTTTGCTTCCACTCTTTAGAAGTGCTGCTCAGTACCGGCTTTCCTATACATCATCCAACATTGGCTGCCAAACTTCCACAGCATCGTCCACCGACGCGCCCTGCTATCCACTTTACACTATGAAGAGCCTCTCTTGCTTTGAGTGTACACATGCCCTAACGATCTATTGAGGAGGACTATCACCAACTGGGACACAACGAAGTGACCGAAGGAAGTATGGATTTTGACAGAGTGCATATTGGTCTATAGAATCAATGGGTTAATATCTGGAGGTGAGCGTTCGTGCCTGGTGGTGGTGGACACTGTGGTACATTAAGTTGAGATCCATTGTAATGTTACATCACTGAGTGTTGCTGGACATTTTGGATTTTTCTTTTAATTTATATCACTATATTGGACCTTAAACACTGCTCCTTGTGGCAATATTGCTCAGGCACTCTGGCATGGTTCATCCTAGAGGATCAGCTGGGTGTTTACTGATTATATAGATTTATATTTTGTTTTCACAATTTTATATCATATATTTATCTTACTTTTTGTATATGCTTTATCTCTAACATTGGAGTTTGCACTATTCATCTTATTGCATTTATGTGTTTGTGGTTCAGCCGGGTATTTTACTTTATTCAATATCATTTTTTAATTTGTTGCATATATCACAAAGCATAATATCTAATATCCCAAAATAAAATAAAAAAAATCAATAATTGATTTTTTTTTAAATTTTATTTTGGGATATTAGTCATTTTTTCACCTGTTCTACGCCAGATTGGTTACATGTGGGTTAGATTTGTGGGTGTTTATTTGATCCCATTTATTGATTTGGTTTAGTGTGGATATGAAGCAGTGTCAGGGGCAGACTGACCATTAGGAAACTCGGGCACTGCCCGAGGGCCCGGGGTCGGTAGGGGGCCCCATGAGATGCCCCTGGTACCTTTTTCATAGGCTTTTTTGAGTTTGGGCAAGAACACAGGGGCCCCAAGATCCCCTATATTGCCCGGGGGCCCCATGAGTTGTCAATCCGCCCCTGAGCAGTGTAGCACTAATTCAGAAATTTAAATACAAATACAGATATTCAGAAAGAATACATACCAGAAGACATTTCCTCCTGTACAGCTCAATCAGTTTCCCATCTACTCCACGGTTTGCTCCAATACTCAATAAGGCACTGTTACTTTGATAAGCATGCACAAGGTATGTGAGGGCCTCTTGACATCTAACAAGAGCAAAGAGTCACAGAATGGCATCACGTAATATTTTGGATCAGTTACAAGACAGAAATACATGTGAATTAACAAGAGGGGTATTTGGGTATTTTAAAACAGCTACTTACTTCCCTTTCTGGTACAACTCTAGTCCTGTTAGAAGATAGACAGACACCTTACGAAACTGGCTGTAATCTTCATGCCATTTCTATACAAGGAAGACAGACTTTATTAAATTTCACAGAAGAAGTCACGTACTGAGAGCTGAACCTTTGTACACAATGTGTTAAAGTGCATCTGAAACCTAACTGACCAGCATTTAGTTTACTTTAAAAGGTTGTAAACCTCAGACATGAAATATGAACAAAGCACATCCCTCTATAGTGTGTACTTGTCTCAATCCAAAGCACTAAGTGTTATTTCTGCCTGCTACCTCATTCCTCTACTATCAGCATTAATCACTTCTGAAAGGTTTTTCCTGACACCAAGAGAAAAATGGTGACAGGGGAGCGCACAGCTTGTGATTGACAGTCTCAGCTCTGTTCCTGTGTGAAGGGGGTGTGCCTTTTCCCTCCAATCAGCTCTCAAAGCTCTCCTCACTGATGTAACTTCAGCTCCCTGCCCCCTGCTTTTCAGAGCTGAGAGATCCTGTGTAGAGTCTGCACTTTGAATGGATCTAGGGGAAAGATGGAAGCAGATAAACAGGTACAACTTATGCAGGATTTGTTTTTTTCTCTGTGTATCAACTGAGGCCAGTCAGTCAATTCACTGGCTATATGTAAAGGTTTCCAACCACTTTAAGCTAGCCATAAATTATGACATTTTCTTTCCTTCAACTAGGGGCTGATGGGGAATCTGTAACACTGAGCTATTGTTTTCTGACAGTGGGAGGTTTCCTTGCCATCGGAATGCAAAGATCACTGCTAGCAGTTATATCACTCTGCGGTGTCCCAACAGTATGTTCTGTGCACTATAGTACACCTAATTAGCTCCTTGTGCTGCTTCCTTCTCCCCCATGTGAGCTCCGCAGTACAGTAGACTACCAGAGCCCTATAAACCAAAATTCAGGTACTTACACTGCTAGCAATAAAAAAAAAACCAAAAAAAAAAACCAAACAACATTTACTGTATTAAAGCCATACTAAAATCACATGCAATGCTCTTACGCCACACTATCTCCACCTGAGTCTCTGCCAGGGGGTCATAAAAGACCCGTCTCTAATAACATATGCTATAAACAATAGGAGTCTAAAGTGAATCTGAAACCTAAAAAAGTGTCAATTGGCCAAGTATGCGGACAGGAATGTTCCAATGGGTGTCATGATGGAGAGGGCAATCCAAGGTCGGTGCTGTACACTGGCAGCAGGATGGCCTGTAATATTCGGCAAGAATTAAGCAGCCTCATTTTCAGTCCAAAAGATGAACGAACGAAAAACCAGCGCTCCAGTCTTCATACAACCAAGGCGATGCCAAAATGCCAACCGAAGAGGTGCTGCCCTTTTAAGATCGGGGAATCTGACCACTAGAGCTCTGAGGAAGGGAGTTTAGCTCCCGAAACGCGTTAGCCTTATCTGCACCATTAGACACAGATGTATTGTGACTGTCCTTGTGGACCACTTTTTACTGCCTTTTATCACGTTGGTTTGTGAGTATATATTCTCTTTCCATTTAATAAATACGTGTTATACCACGGTAATGCACGATGAGAGTGCGCCCGTTTGTTCATTTTCAGTCCAGCATGTAAAGAAAGGGACACAGTAGACTTATTACAGGATAACCATAGTCGCAGCTCACCCAGACCTATGGGGGTTTATTTACTAAAGCTGGAGAGTCCAAAATCAGACTCCCTTCTGCATAGAAACCAATCAGCTTCCAGGTTTCATTGCCAAAGCTTCATTGAACAAGCTGAGGTTAGAAGCTGATTGGTTTCTATGCAGAAGGGAGTCTGATTTTGGACTCTCCAGCTTTAGTAAATAAATCCCATAGAGTCCAGCCATCATCTGTCTGCATCAGCAGGGAAGCACAGCAACACTGCAATACCTCCGCCGTTCACCTAGGGGCAGTAGAGGGTACCATTCTGGCTGCTACGATCTCCTAGACCAGGGGAAGGCAACCTGCGGCTCTCCAGCTGTTGCAGGACTACAAGTTCCATCATGCCTCTGCAAGTCATAGCTGTAATTGTCACTTTTGTAATGTTGCAATGCCTCATGGGAAATGTAGTTCCACAACAGCTAGAGAGCCGCAGGTTGCCTACCCCTGTCCTAGACGCTTCAGTGCTGAAGATGCCCCATTACTGCATGGGGGGGACTCGGGCAACATAGATGTTCACTGAGTGTGTGCAAGCCGGGACAGACGTAGACAGTGTGGCATAGGAGCACTGCATGTGTCACTCAGCAGGCTCACTTTAATGGTGGATATCCACTGAATGCACCCCTACAGTCTGACAGCTTGCAAGACCAGGTAACTGCTATCACTCACGCACCACACTTATTAAAATTTGATATGTAGGATTGTGTGCGGGTCAGATGAGCAGCTGCCTTGGTGATGAGACAACGTTGTCTTCTTAATATTTGTGGTGATGGATAGTGGTTTTTAAGCTCTTTTTTTATTTGTCAATACTTTTTTTATATACTTCTTCTCAATAAACCCTTTACTACATATCCTGCATGGTTCCACTTGTAACTTTCCTTTTGGCCCAGAGGTTTTGGTCTATATTTTGCTGAGTTACTGGGATCACACAAATTGATTCTACAGGTGAGCCAGCGGTAGAATAGCTTATGGTATAACAGCTTGCTTTTATGTTTACCATCTTTTTTCCTTCAATGAATTTTATTGAGTTTTCATTTCATACAGAGTGTATTATAGCCAAAAGTAGTGTCAAAATATCAAAAATACTGATACAAAATAGTACATATTTCTTTGTGATGAGTATTTGTACTGTTAAACATTGAATTATGTAGGTCTTATTGGTAAAGGAGTATCACAGTTATCAAGATTAACATGGCTCATGGTGTACTAACACTAATGCAGGTCATAGACGGGTCGAAAATCGGCCGATTTTCGCACCGTTAGTAGGTTAATTGGTCGGCCGTTTTCTGGGATTTTGGCACTTTTTTTTTAATTGGTGAAGTTGGAAGAAATAAAAAAAATCGGCCAATTTTGCCGATCGGTCGATTTTCCCGGCAATGATGAGAAAATCGGTCGATCTTTTTACTGATAAAAAATCTGCGCATGAGATGTGACCTGCAAGAAGAAGAAGAAGAAAAAGAAGAGGAACAAGAAGACAAAGAAGAAGACAAAGAAGAAGACAAAGAAGAAAAAAGAAGAAAAAAAGAAGAAGAATTCCAGTCCGCTATTATATTTGACATGACAAAGTATTGCGGTTGCAACAATGTATCTATTTGTATCTGAATAAAAACATCGGTATCTGAAATGGATACAAATACATACATTGTTGCAACCGCAATACTTTTTCATGTCAAATATAATAGCGGAGCTCTCTGCAGGGACAGAAGTAATTAAATGCCGGCCGTAGACGGGATGAAAATCGGCTGATTTTTTTTACCGTTGGTAGAAACGTCGGCCTATTGAACGACTGATTTTTTTTTTTTTTTTTTTTTTTTTTTTAAAAATGGCCGGTTTTCGACCCGTCTATAGCCTGGATTACAGTAGTAGACAGTTACGCAATCTACATATAGAAGGGAAATAGAAGGGTGCAGAATGCCAGTATCAATGCTGTACTCCCAAATTGTATCTGACAGAAATAAAGGGTTATTCAATTTCCAGTTATGCCAAGGTTGCCACAGTATATTCATTTGAGCTAGTCTTCCTACACTTGTAGACATCATGTGTTCATATGAACAATGTAGTCAAGTCAGATCTAATGTGTCTGAAGTCGTAGGAGGTGAAGGTACTTTCCAGCGTCTAAGTCTCGCTGCTAGAAGAATATGTAAGATTGTATGTCTTGTGTTGTTTGGTAGAATATCTGCATCTAGATTCAATAATGCCAGGCTAGGAGATGGAGGGACAAAGATATGGGAAATATCAGAAATATGGAAGTACAAAAAGATTTGATCTTACAGCAAAAATTGTCTCCTTTCTGCCAACAATGTCTCCAGCAAAATTGGATGTTTGACCTTTGAAGTGTGCAGTCTTGTCTGGAGTCAGGTTCCATCTCAGTGTGAGTTTTTGGGATAGTTCCCATAGTGTGGAACAGAGAGTCACTCTGTAGGTTAGTCGGCACACTTGTACCCATTGAGAGTCAGTGTACGATTTCCCCAAGTCAGATTCCCACTTTTGGAAAAGATCTGTTTTAGCAAAAATGTTTTTATGTTGAAATAGGGTATAAAAATAGTGAGAAGCTGTTTGTTGTAGATATCCGTTTATCATCTTTTGAGATTAAATTAGGTGAGGTCCTTGCCGTCCCTTCAATGTTTTTTTCTGGATGTCAAATCAAATGCAGTGAAGAGGAAGGGGGGGAGCGGGCAAGTCTCGCTGTGTGTATCTATGGAGTGCGGTTCCATAGAAACACAGGTCGGGAGTAAGCGTGCACAGTTTCCCCCTAGCAAATGGCTAGCTATGGAGACACACAAAGAAGAGGAGGAGCCAAGATCGGCAGCAGGTGGAGAAGAGCAGGATCAAGCCGCTCTGTGCAATACCATTGCACAGAGCAGGTGAGTATAACATGTTTGTGGGTTTTTTTAATAATAAAAAAAAAAAAATTCTGACTTTAGTTACATTTTAACCATTACAGAGGTGCATCCATTTGTGTCTTTAATATGTGCCTGGTGTTCAGCTTTAAAAGGCTGCTCCTTCTTGTGCTCCAAGTTTCATAAATCAATTGCATTGTGTATACACGGCACACAAAAATCAACAAATAAGAAAGTAATAAGACAAGCATAAAAACGTAACCTGGTACTGTTTCATATCCATGTCATTTGGACCAATCTCTTTTAGCTTCGCTTGAGCCACCTTCATAATGCTTATGGATCTAAAGAGGGAAATCAAGAGATTAAGAATGAATTGAAATATTTTATTACTAATTGGTGCGGCTTTTTGGCACAGGTAGTCCTTTATGTTACAAGGACCTACAGTACATGCAAATGCAGTACATAGCATATATCTAGCCATGTCTGTGCTGAATGTATTATGGCAGATTTTCTAGCTTGACATAATTTAAAAAACTGGTCTTGAGTGGGATGTATTGAACTCAGGGGCGGACTGACAACTCATGGGGCCCCCGGGCAATAGGGAATCATGGGGCCCCTGTGTCCATTGCCCAAACTCAAAAAAAACCTATGAAAAAGGTACCAGGGGCATCTCATGGGGCCCCCTACTGACCCCGGTCCCTCGGGCCGTGCGCGAGTTTCCAAATGGTCAGTCCGCCCCTGATGGAACTACAAACTGCAAACATAATGAAAGTAATAGCTAGCTCCAATTTAAAAAAGGCTAAATGATGATAAAAGTCATCTTGTAATTTAAAACTCAATTGAATCTCTACTTTAAAATCAGCTGTATACATTTCAGGTGCATCAAAACAAATGTGTGCAAAAGTCTTACAATTCTTCTTTAGGATATGTTCACACTTGTGCGGGTGGTGTCCGCTGTGGTTCCCGCAGCCGCCCGCAGCGAAAAACGCACCGCCGATCAGATGTGTGGGGGTGCCATTAATTCTAATGCCACCCCATGCACTGGGAACTGCACTGCATTTGAGATTTCGTGTGGGCCGCATTTTCAGAAATGGTGCAGGGACCCTTTTCCCTGAGGTTTCAGAAGACACAGCAGCCTATTCAAATGAATGGGCTGCCATGCCTGCACAAAACATGGCTCACAGAGCTGCACAAGTGCAAACCTAGCCTCAGAAAGCACCCACAGCCTGAGAAGAAAAGCCTGTCCCCTGCCAGCATGCTGCAGATAAGGACATTTAAAGTGCTTGTAAAGCCTAAACATTTTGTTACGTTAATGTATTCCTTGTATTAAGGTAAAAAATGTTTAGGTTAAGCTATAAAAACTTACCTGAGCACTCACTCACTCAATCTAGTGCAGCGGCTCTCTACTCTTCTCCCCGGCTTTGCAGAGAGCAGTGGGAGCCAGTGGTTCCTGCTGCTGTCAGTCAAATCCTGTGATGAGGGAGCAGGGTCGATGCTCACTGTTTGTCAATGGACACAGGCAGCGTGGCTCAGGATCGAGCATGCAGGAGTGCCGAGATAGGAAGGAGCTACCTATAGTGGCGAAGTGGAGCCAGAAGAAGAAGCAGCGGGGGAGCCAGGAGCACTGGCAGGAGACCCCCCAAGAGGCGGAATCAGGACAGTTTTGTGCGGTTCCATTGCACAGAGCAGGTAAGTATAAACATATTTATTAAAAAAACAATTAAAACAAGACTTTACAACAGTGGGCTCAATGCAGAGCTCTAACACACTCCCTGCACGAGAGCTCCCTATGAGCAGGGAACATGAACTTTGCTGATTGCATAGCTATTCAGAATCAGAAAAGGACGGTGCTGCTGGAGTTACTGAGAAATGAAAGAGCCAATAACCACAAATGTTGGCTTGACAGACCCTTGAAGAAAACGGAAACAAATCCATCTACTAAGTAACAGAAAAATGTGTTATATGATAGACATTCAGACAAAAACCAATCTGCTTACGTGGTCATATTAGATTGCCCAGGAGCAAAACATTGCCTGAGCTACTGCACACAGAGGCTATCAAAGTCATAAGTAGGGCTGTAAAGAGAAAACTATTATGTACAGTGGACAGAAGACAGGGCCAACCCTTTCCTCTATGGATTATTCCTCATCCTTTATATCAACCTTCCCCAAACTTTTCAACACAGAGGAACCCTTGAAGTAAACTGTCAGGTCTCAGGGAACCCCTGCTAAAAATGGCTATATCTACAACCCCCGTTACATTAGTGCGATGGTCAGTGGACAGAATGTTCCTTACACTTATGGTCACTGGAATTACACCCGTTACCTTATACATATCTAAAAAGGATCAGTAGGAGCTTATCTGAAAGGCAGAAATTACTCAAGGAACCCCTAGCAACCTCTGGAGGAACCCTGGTTTATATGAACAGACCCGACTCCATTCAACTCTGTAGCATAGATGACTACACATGGTGGAATGCGGAATCTACGAAAAGCCAAGAGCAACGTCCGAATGAAGACAGACATAAGTGAGGAGTATGCCAAAGAAAAGGACATGTATATTGGTTGGGCAATACTTGAAGGCATCCCAAACTACATGTGCATTTATGTGAAGGGGGGGTCATGTGTAATTTGTCACTGAGAGACATCTATATACATTAAACCTACCATTGTGAAGCAAGACATGTTGGTACTTCAACAATAGAAGCATAAAAAAAAAAATGCAGACTCGTTCGACTCACCGTTCGTCATAGCTGAGATTCTTATCTGCAAACTGTTCCAGCAACGTGCGCTCAATCACACGTTGTGGGGCCTTATTCTGAAAGAAGTAGACCAGCACATGCTGCAAGCGAGGGTCACTGGATGGAGAAGGCTGCTCCTCGGCAAGTTTGCAGAGTCGGGAATATTCTTCATGGAATGCCTACAGAGGAACTCCAACTGTTAAAAGAGCTTTCTAATACCATTCAAATATAAATTCATTTTAGTCACTTGATGTATAGCTTTAGGTGTATGCAAGCTGCAGTTGGGCCACAGTGCGATTGCCAAGTTTGCATATTTTAACATATAATAAAATGCTACAAAATGAAAACGGCACCAAAACTGCATAAAAAAGCAAAAGATCTATATTTCCTTTTCAACATCTCAAGCATATAAACAAGGCACACACACCTGTGTTATGTGATTTATATATCACAACAGGATAAGGAGAATTAATATAGCAAGCAGCATGTGTACCAAGAATAGCTTTACAACGAAGATCATGCTTCATAGCTCGAGATTATATATATGGTTAGATCTTCACGTATCCCACAGCACTCATTACTACATGCACAATAACCAATCTGAAAGTAGGTGTGATCCCTAAATAAATAACATTTAGTTGCCAGAACACCAGGTATTAAAGTAGAAGTGTGGGATGGCCAAAAAAACAAACACTTAACTATATGGCTGCAGCATTGGTCCAATGTTGCAGCTGACCACCCCTCCCCCCCCCCCACCTCCAGCTCTAAGACTGAGCTGAACGATCACATGGCCACTGGTCACTCAATTCTGGGCCACTGGAGTGCCGGGCTGGGGAGGGGACGGGAGCAGCCCTTTGAGCCAGGTCCTTGTGAACGTGTTTCTGAGACGAAACATGATGGGGTGGAACCTGTGCAGACATCATTCTACTAGACTGAGCAGTGGCTGTTTTTTTGTGTTGCTCGTATATTCTGTTTAATGCAAGTACCTCTCTTTGTTGCAAGTAAAATGTAAAATTGGATTTACACTATGGTGCTTGTCCTTTGTGTTCTTTGGTATAATCCTGACAACATATATGCATGCTCACAGCGCTAAATAAGTACCTGGAATACATACACACTATATTGGTAAAAGTACTGGGATGCCTGCCTTCACATGAACTTTAATGGCATCCCAGTCTTCGTCTGTAGGGTTCAATATTGAGTTGGTCCGCCCTCCGCCCTTTGCAGCTATAACAGCTTCAACTCTTCTGGGAAGGCTGTTCACAAGGTTTAGGAGGGTGTCTATGGGAAGGTTTGCCCATTCTTCCAGAAGAGCATTTGTAAGGTTAGGCACGGTCATCGGAGGAGAAGGCCTGGCTCGCAGTCTCCACTCTAATTCATTGCAAAGATGTTCTAATCAGGCGGAGGTCAGAACTCCACCCCAAACTCGTTCATCCAAGTCTTTATGGACCTTGCTTTGTGCACTGGTGCACAGTCATGTTAAAGCAAGTAGGGGCCATCTCAAAACTGTTCCTACAAAGTTGGGGGCATGAAATTGGCCAAAATGTCTTGGTATGCTGACACCTTAAAAGTTATCTTAACTGGAATTAAGGGGCCAAGCCCAACCTCTGAAAAACAACCTCATACCTTAATCCCCCCTCCACCAAATTTCACAGATGGACTTATTGCACAGGTGGCAACCTATCACGGGACCACACTTGAATTCACTGAGCTCCGAGAGCGACCCATTGTTGCACAAATGTTTGTAGCAGCAGTCTGCATGCCTAGGGGCTTGATTTTATACAACTGTGGCCATGGAGGGGATTGTAACACCTGAATCCAATGGAGGGGCATCCCAATACCCACCACTCAGCATCACCCCTTGTCCCCCCCCCCCCCCCCCCCCCCCCCCCATCTCCCTGTACTGACACTTATAGAGAATGCAGAGCCAAGTATCATTTTGTGGTTGAGAAGTGATTTGTATGAAGTTTGTTAAGAACAGTAAAATAGATCCCCTCAAGCCAGGCGACAAAAAATATCCCTCACAACAAAATACATCCCCTATTATAGTGATATGACATGTGTACAGTAATGTATATCCCCCTCCCTGTACTCCATTATAGTGATATGACATGTATACAGTAATGTATATCCCCCCAGCTCCCCTGTACTCCATTATAGTGATATGACATGTATACAGTATGTATATCCCCCTCCCCTGTACTCCATTATATGTGATATGACATGTATGTATAAAGGTATATCCCAGCTCCCCTGTACTCCATTATAGTGATATGACATGTATACAGTATGTATATCCCCCTCCCCTGTACTCCATTATAGTGATATGACATGTATACAGTAATGTATATCCCCCTCCCCTGTACTCCATTATAATGACATGTATACAGTCTGTATATCCCAGCTCCCCTGTATCCATTATAGTGATATGACATGTATACAGTAATGTATATCCCCCTCCCCTGTACTCCATTATAGTGATATGACATGTATACAGTAATGTATATCCCAATCCCCTGTACTCCATTATAGTGATATGACATGTATACAGTATGTATATCCCCCCTCCCCTGCACTCCATTATAGTGATATGACATGTATACAGAATGTATATCCCAGCTCCCCTGTACTCCATTATA